TCCACGAAGGCCGGAAAAAAGGCTGTCCTTTGAATCGCGTCACCCTTCGCCGCGGCCTCCGCAGTCGGTTGGCTGACGGCTCGATGGGGGACCGCGGTGATAGGGTTGCGTGGATGTCGCGGTGACTCACGGGGGATGCTCTTTTTCGGCTCCAGCGCCGTAATTGTACCCCCGTGAAGTCGGGCCACGGGCTTTTGCGCGAAATTCAGGGGACCTGCGTTTGCTCGCGAAGTAGGAAGTTTGTCTTGGGCTATTTCCGACTCTCTGAAGTCGCAGGAGTAACGAACGTTCGGTTTATTTGGACTGCTTTCTTCCATGGCTGTGGATGAAGTTGGCACGGACGGGAAAATTATTCTATTTACACGTTGCGATTATTAACAGCTCTGCAGTGCCATTTTTGATTCCACGTTGAAGTTCTCGGTTGGGTACCAGAGCATGTGCTCTAGCACGGTTTCCTATGATAATTCTGTCATAGGGTAATCGACAGATTACCTATTTGCTAGATTTGAAGAGTCAGATGGACACATTTGTTGACATAAAATTGCAGAGAGTATGAGCGCAGTGATGGATACAGATGAGAGGTATCGACAAGCAAACTGTCAAAATTCGTGACAACATTCGTGTCTGCAAAAGGGTAGATCGAAGACTGCCTAATTAAGTACTTATTCCCAAGTTCGACGAGGACTCTCGCGCGGCGAAAAATGCAATTGAAATCTCGCCCCAAATTTTTAGACACACTTTCGGAACTATCATTAGCATCAGGCCTACTTGGAGCCTACTTTTGGCCCACTTCGGCCTTCCTTTCGGCTCGCATCGACACGACCCACTTCGAGTCCTCTTTGGGCCTGCTTTCAGCCAACTTCAAGCCTACTTCGATCTTATTTTCAACTCGCTCTCAGCCCGCGTGTCTGCATCAGGCCTAGTTCGAACCTACTTTGGATCTAGCCCAGTTCCATTCCATCCAGCCGCGCGGTGCCTGCCTTTTTACATCGACTCTTCTCAGAAACCATTTACCACCACCGGAGAACCCGCTCGCAGAGGCTGTCAACCCTTCTCCTTTCTTCGTTTCGCCAAACCCCGAGCACCGGGAGAATCACTGCAAAATCTCTCGCGTTACTCCCAGAAAATGTCTCGGGAGGATTCGATGCGATCAATGTCCAATGCTGCAGGGTAGTATAATATACCACGTAGGACCTTGGTCATCGAGTCACCCTGTATTTCCAATGACACAAAGACCAAAGAGATCCCGAAGTCTATTCAACCCCAAAGCCGCATCCTCGTCGCCCCTATTCGTTTTTAATTCCACCCAGAGGGTGGAACGAGAGTCTTGCCACTTAATTAGCAGTTAGCCAGGCTGCAGTTGTTTAATAGATGACTCAGACCACGTTGTAAAGCGCTCGAGACGAACTTGGTCCTACGCGATGCTGCCTGCGTGTAGTACTACTGGAGGCAGAAAGGGTGCAGCGGGGTTAACCTACATATCCAGCCACGGCTGCCGGAGGAGGTGGCTGGAACGAAAACATTTTCCCTTCGGACGGTGACTCGCCGGGGGTTGCCGGTGAGAGGGGTGGGAAAGTGGGTGTAGAGGCGGTTTCAGCCTCCACTTCCGTTTCTTGGCAAGTATCGACGGCTCTTGAGGAATGAGTTCTGCCGCGTTTCGAAAGATACGCGGTATGAGGAACGAGACTCGGGGCTACTCGGTGGAATGGTTTTGGTAATTTTGTCGGGAGTCGAGGTGGAAGCTCGATGGGGATGAAAGGAGCCGAGGAGAAATAGTTTGGTGGTTCGGTGTATTACTTATTGCTCTCTTCTTCGCGTTATATTTCGTATTTCTGCGCCTTCCTTCCTGGCGTGGTTTCATAGACTACGACGAGATCACTCGATTAATTCTGATAAAATCTGTACAGATGGCGTAAATGCTCTATTCTGGTCCTATTGTTTTTTAAGTGCTCTGATAGGCTGTGATGAGATTATTTGATTAATTTTGGCGAGGAAGACATCGACGAAGATTAAGGGGAATGTGTATGAGAACGGAAATAAATACCGTCGAGTGCATTGTGAACGAATCGTATAAATAGCCGCGGCTAATTTGTGCAAGCAGTCGTGTGTAAAGGTTGCACAAACCCTAAATTGTAACGTGAATGCCATCCGAGAATGAAGTGTATGTGCTCAATTCATTCACTTCCTATTCAACTTTGATTCGTCTGCATACTGATCCACGCGCTATTAATCCTCTATGGAACATAATGCATACTTGGAATTTGTATATACATGCACGCTTCCTATTCTTCTTGAGTCACGCGTCTATTAATTTCACTCGAGTAAACTATTTCAAACAAAGGGAGCTGCTTGGTGCGTATATCCAAGGGAAAATATAAATTGCCAAGACGAGAACCGAAAAACTCGTCGTTCCTCTAAAGCAACGAGATCTTTCTCGACTTCCGGCAGAAAATTCGAACATCACCAGGTCATTTGTCCCGCGATAAAATTTCCAGGTTAACCGCGTATTTTTTCGTGCCAAGACCGCAAGCATGGGACGCAAATGTGCCTCTCGCCAGCCACGAGGATGTCCCGTATTCGTAATTGAAAAATACCCACGGTGGCACGTTGTCCACCTGCGAGTTTCGGCCAGGTAGCCCAGTGTTATACGCGGCTAATGCCGTTACGAGGGACGAGACTTAAAAGCGAGGCAAAAATTTAGTTAAAAAGAAGCAGGAAGACCTGGAAGAACACTAGAGAGCAGTAGCAACCTCGCGAACGTTCTCTCGCGCAGCGTTACAAAATGGCCGCCGGTCCGGCGAACTCCTTGGAAACTCGTTGCGTCTTCCTGTGCTCTTTTCCTCTGGAACGTCCAGAAAGAGGGAACGGCACCGTGTCGGAATCGAGTTCCTATTCGAGACGGACTCGAAGGACGGGTCAGAAGAGCCTGGATGGTCGTCCAGCGATCCTCGAGGAGGGAATACGAGCGTCTGCGGACGATGTCGGAGATAAAAGAGGGAGAGGGCGTGGAGAAAAGGACAAAAGCTTATGTATAACGGGAAACAAAGAGAGCGGAATGGACACAAAGGGTGGAAACAGGGGAAAGAAACGGAAGAAGTGGCTGGGACCGAGGGGAAAGGAGAACAAAGAGGGTCGGGAGCAAAGGAAAGGCTTTCGCTCTCGATGTCGTTCGGGTTCAGAGAGCAACTTCCGCAATTGCGACGAGTACGCCGCCGCCGTGGAAGATGGCCACTCGGCCACGGCAGTAAGGGCAATCCGTTTTATTGGCGTTCGTTTCACGGTAATCGCGCGACCAGCTGAATATTCTTCTTGATACGCGCTCGAGCGTTACAAAGTGGACGCGTTTGAGATCGGACTCAGGACAGTTCGGCTGCTCCTCGTCTTCGCCGAGTTTCTCCGCCGACTTTTAGCCGATAGCTCGACCGGAAATGAGGATCTCGAGCAAGCTACGGCGTCTGAGTGCTTCTGTTCCCGTTAAGCATTTTTCTCGGCAAGAGACACGTGAATAGACGGAACTTTCGAACGGGGGTAGCTTTTGGGGGACCCGCTGATGGCCTGTTCGACAGAAGTTAGGATAGGTGAAGTTTTGCTCGTTTCTCGAGTGCCAAATTGGTGAAAAGTAATCGATATACGTGTTGGGATACTTTTTATTTGCGAATAGAGGGAGTAAGAGATGGTGTTTATTCCGGTATATTATTTATTACGATCGAAAAGAGACTTAGACTAGACTAATAACTGGTCTGTAATCGTGCAACTGACACTCGCACATCGACTCTCCTTCATACTTCGTAAAGAATTGCCTTAGGACAGCTCTTGCATCCTCATTTATACCTTGCACTCTGTCTTATTACATACTCGTGCTCTCTTTCTAAATCACGCATTTCTTTAAACTCTCAGACACCTTTCGCTCTTCACTTGCATTCGATACAGTCATAAATATCGTTATACCGTTCGTCATGGATCCTAGGCAGCTGTTTACTGTCCATCATCGGCTAACTAGGCCCAAGTATTCCCATACTTTCAGTCTCAAACCCTAGCATTCCTACCGAAGGTTATTCTGACAAACGATAGTGGAGTAAGACTAAGAATTAAGATCTATTATCTATCTTGACTATCTAAGCTAACCCCATCGTCTACCATTTGCCAAAGCCTCGCTGTCTAGAGTGGAGCACCAAGTATCTTGAGAGAGCCGAGAGCAAGACGTTTCCACGTTATCTAAGCAGGGCGATCGTTAAAATTCTCATGGCGCGTAATCGAGTTGGAAATTACCGAGGAGATGGAGGAAGAAGGGGCGAGGATTCAGATAAGAGGGCTTTGTCGCGGTGGCCAGGAAGCCTGGAGGAGCATTATGCGAATACGTCGGGAACGATTGGCTCTCGTTGGAGTCTGTTGAGAGGGCGAGAGCGGGCCGAGTAACCGGAATCGGCGTTCCGTATCAATGCGCGATCGTGAAAAGGAGCCGATAACACGGGCCCAGACGGGGTAAAAGCCACCACCTTTCGAAGATACTCGCTCCGGCACTCTTTTAATGTGATTTTGCACTCATTGAAAACCACTCGATCGCTCCATAGAGAGGTCTCCTTTGTGCGTGACTCGCGAATTTTTACGCGCAGCTTTTTCTCGCCGAGGGCTCGTTACGGATCGTTTCTCTCTTGAAATTCTTCCGAACGTGGCCAGAAATTGCAAAGGGGAATCGCGGTAGCTGAGAAATAATCGCAAGGGAGATAGGCAAAATTTGGTTAATGCGTTTCAAATTATTGCGATCCAGTACGACACGTTGGTCGACAGTTTTTAGAGATCCAATACCATCGTCGCGTTCGAGCTATCGCGACTTCGTTAACTTTGCACTTGGAAAATTTTCTTTACTAACGACACCAGTGGATACCAGTGCAACGGGTTAAACGTTGACACCCGATACATCCCTTAAGATAAGCTTAAAATCGAGAAATATAGAGGAACCAACCGATCTCTAACGATCGATCTCCCGTTTCACGTTACAGTCTCGCCAATCCGAGAGAACCGTCTAACGACCAACCAACACCAGACCCAAAAGTTCCACGCCCACTGTCGACGCCCGTGTCGCCTAGTGGCGCGTCGTCGTGGAGTCGCGAGGCGTTGGCGGCAAGACGGCCGATTGTGCGGACGTGCTGGGGAAGCAATTCCGCGGCTGCAAGGACCAGCAACAGCCCGAGGATTCTCCCAGCAAAGGGCAAGATGCACATCGAGGTGCAGGTGGCGCTCAACTTCGTGATATCCTACCTCTACAACAAGCTGCCGCGCAGGCGGGTGAACATCTTCGGCGAAGAGCTCGAGAAGGCGCTCAAGGACAAGTTCAAGGGACACTGGTACCCGGAGAAGCCGTTCAAAGGATCCGCGTTCAGATGTCTGAAGACTGGCGATCCGGTGGACCCGGTGTTGGAGCGGGCCGCCAAAGAGAGCGGCGTGCCCATTCAGGACGTCTTGGAGAACCTTCCCGCCGAGTTGGCCGTCTGGGTAGACCCCGGAGAGGTGAGCTATCGTATCGGCGAGATGAACGCGGTGAAGATCCTCTACTCCGAGACTGGAGACCCTCACGACGAGAGTTCGGCCGACCGAGAGGTCACCAAGACTTTCAATCCCGAGGCCCAGTGCTTCAGGCCTATCGAGACCGTAGGCTCGTCCCTGGGCCGGCTGAGCCTTAGTCCAAAGTCCACGTCGCCGTTCCCGAGCTCGCTGGGCAGTAACGCGAGCAACGGCTCGTCGAACAATCAACAGAGCGGCCACGGGTCCGGTTCCTCATCGGCGCCATCGCCGACGCCCATCACCAGCTCCTTCAAGGGCTCGCCTAGTCCTGTTCCGGCTTTCATCCCGCGAACCACCGCGCCGCTCACCTTCACCACCGCCACCTTCGCGCAGACCAAGTTTGGTAGCACCAAACTGAAGACCAGCAGCAAACGGACGAACAGGTTGGTGAACCATTCCTGCAATCTTTCCGTGGTTAGAGAACCGTACACGTTGGTCCCCCCTTGTCGGTGGTATACGTACTTGGTACTCGTGGCTGTTTCCTATTAATTCGGACCAATATCTTTGTATCTTTCGTCGATGCAAAATGAACGATGAAAGTAACTCGAGTCAAACCACTGACGTTTACGACTACGAAATGTTCCCTCTTACGAGACTGACCGAGATATCGATATGAAGGGTAATCTTCGTTCGACCAGTTTCCCAACTTGCCTCGCGCGATGTAATCACGGTTTACCGTACCAAGTACGATCTTACCACCGAGCCCGTAGACCAGTATCGGAACCGTAATCCCGTCCACGAGACCCGTGAGTAGATTGCCGAACAGACAGATGAACCGCACGTCATCGTGTTGTTTCAGAATGTCCCCCACCGAGTTCTCGAACTACATCAAGCAGCGTGCCATGCAGCAACAGATTCACCATCACCATCATCATCAACAGCACCAACAGCAGCAGCAGCAGCAGCAACAGCAGCAACAGCAGCAGCAGCAGCAGCAGGCGGCCGCTGGTGGCCTGCCAGTGTCACAGAGCTCCCCTCGCAGTCGCAGCCTGTCACCGGGAAGCATAGTGGCTGGAGCCGGTCAGCAACACACGGATCCGAGCGCGTACTTCTTCCAGCACGGGCCAGCCGCGTACCATCCCCAGTTCTCTCATCGCAACATCTTCGACTCGTCCAGCCACGGCGGCTACCTCTCCGCTGATCTGTACACAGGCGTGAACTTCCCGTCGTCCTACCTCGATCCAACGACGATCGCCGGCCATCAGTTCTACGGCGGCAGCGTGAACGGAACCAGCAGCGCCGCAGGCAGCAACGGGAACTCGCAGAGTGCCGGGAATCTCGGCCCAGTCGGCTCCGCCGTGACGAACAGCAACGTGAACGGGTCTGGACAGCAACAGGACAAGACAGCGCTCGTAGAGGGCCTGAACAACTTTGGCCTCGGCTCCGTGGCGCCTTACCCAGCCAGCCAATACCAGCACCTCCTCGTAGCCAACTAAAACCCCGCGCGAGTGAAGACCAAGTGTCTGGCGCGACCAGAGTCCCACTAGTTCCCACTCTGTCTCTCTCCGGCGGAACGAGACATCCAACCGGAAGCCGCCACGGTAGCTCTGCATAGTCAACCCTTAAAGAATCGGTCATCGTGCGTGGTCGTTGTCGTCGTCGTCGTTTGTCGTGATCCTTCATCGAGGAATCGATACGAGCTCATCCACTCCCGCTTTTCTCGCTCGATACGAATCCGGATCAGTCGAGAGGGAACCCCAGTGGTTGGTGTACCTCTCTCGCTAGTCGATCGGCGGACAGCCAGTCGATCGGCACACCGTCGTCGTTTGTGCGCGAACAACGTGCACGATGGCAGAGAGACAGGGAACAGAAGAGGAGAGAGACACCTTCGGCAGAGAGGACGCAATCAGCACCGAGGAAGACACCGGGTCGACGCGCACGCGGATCAAGACGACCCGACTATTCGCGAGACAGAGAGATAGAGCGATAGGAAGAGAGAGTGGGAAAGCGAGAGAGAGCTAGGGAGAGAATGAGAGAGAATACGAGCGTGTGCGAGAGCGAGGTTACGTGCAGCGTGTAGAGAGGGATTCAAGTTCGGTGCGCCTGTGTGCTGAAGCGTGCGTGCAAGTCGTTTAGAGGAGAGTAGCGGTGGAGGAACGAAGAGGAGGAGGGACTGTTCGATGCGACGGGACTCGCGAACGCGAACTTTGCGACCGACTAACGTACAGAGAGCCGCGTGTACCTAACATTCTGTAACCGGAAACAACACGGACACCACGGACACCACGGACCCGATTGCGATGGCGCTGCGCGTCCGTTCGACGAATGGCTGCTCCCTGTGTCGCGTTCTAACCCGCGTCGGCCATCTTGCGGCTGACGGACGGGCAGACGGTCGCGAGAGAGGAAAAGAGTATCGCGTAAGCGAACTCTGTTATGCCACAGAGACCAATTCGTGATTTCGTTCGTGGTTCGAGAGGGGCAGAGAAAGAGAGGTAGAGAAAGAGAGTGAGAGAGAAAGAGAGAGAGAGAGAGAGAGAGAATAAAGGTCGAACGATGCGCCATGCGCCTACACATGGGACAGCGAAAGAGCCAAGAGACACACACGTGCGCGACGCGTACGTAAAATTCCACACGGGCCAGATTCACACGCAAACGGACACACTCACTCCCACCCATTCACCTGGCGACCCCCACGTACATACATGTACACACACGCATATATACGTCTACATTTGCTACGCGAACACACGGAACGCCCCGCCTGCTGGTGGCGTGGTGACACCCGCGATCGCATACACACGTACACACAGGTATTATACACACGGACAAGGCGAAAGACACAGGAGGGCGGGGTGTGCGGACACTTAATATCGCGCACGACTTCACCAACACGTACACACAGATATTACCAACGTGTAATAATTTATTTTTTCACTGGTATAGTCGGAGAATTGATATTGAATATATCTGTAGAGCCTATGTATTATATTCAAAATATGCACTCACTTCGCGGGTTCTCGCGAAACGGTGTAGGGACTACCTGTAGCCGCTCTGTCGAAGCGTCGACGAACGAACACCCGGGGACGCTGAGTCGCGTATACACGTATACACGTTTCCCGGTGTATTCCTCTCGTTCTACACGACCCGAAGAACGATCCAATCCACGATCGAGAACACCAGAGACGAAGAGGACCGAGGAATTTGAAGAGAGGAGAGCAAGAAACGGGAATCGAAAGTATAGTACTCGCAGGATCGTGGTAAGAAGACGAAGAAAAACACTGGCTGCCGTGGGATTCTTTCTCGATCGAGTCGCAGATGGTGCTCGCGGTTCCATACCGTTCGGAAAACTCGTCCTCGGTACGATTTTACATTTTATTTTTATAATAAATGCAGTAGAGCGTAGGAGAGAAAAAAAAGTGAAAAAAGCGAGGCAAAAGGAAGAGGAGGGAGTAAAGCGGAGAAGAAGGATGGCGGCGTGTTCGCGCGAGCAACAACATGGCCGCGCTGCGTCGCTGCCTCGCCGCGAAACCGTGCGCTTCCGGTCCCGAGATTAATCTCCCCGGAGATTTCCTTTCGACGCGACGTCCCCGTCGTTTTCATCCCTCCTCCCCAAAAACCGCGCCTCGCGTTCACCACGCGTCGCCGGATCCAGCAAAAGCGGAACAACATCCTCCGGTGGTCTAACTTCGCGACACACCGGCGACGGTTCGCCAACTTTCCTAATTCCGCGCTATCGAGCATCCGGCTCTCCTCGAATCTCCGTTCTGCCCTATCGATCCTCAGGCAACGGGCCAACGGCCATTCGAACTTCCGTCGTTGCCTCCGCGTCGACGGTGTTCGAAGATCGGGGACAAAGGACGCGTCGAAAGGGAAACAAAGCAGCGCCGGTGGCGGGGATGCGAAGCAGCGGCCAACCGGCCGGTTCGCGTTCGCGAGATTAATTAGGTGATTACGTTATTAAAGGCCACTGTTACTGTCCTCGACGGCCGCGACGCGACCGTGCTCGTGACCTCGAACGCGCATGCGAGTCCATCCGCTTCCGAGGTCTTCGCCAACTGTCACGAGACGATTTTCATCTTCCACGCGAGTCCATAGAATTCTCGTTCGACTGGGCTCTCGGAATTAAACCGTGTCGAAATTTTTGATCCTCGTTTGGACCGTTTTCTGAGCGAATATCGATCGATGACGGTGCTTTTGGACAGATGATTTTACGTGCGCACTCTTGGTGAAACGAGTTGAATAGAAACGAAGTGGAGAAGACAAGTCTCGACTGTCGTCTCGTAGAACGTTAACCTTTGCACTCGGGAGGCGACTCTCGGTCTCCATTTAGCGAAATTGTAAAAATTCCTAGTCAATCTTCTCTCTTCGTTCTAAACAAATTCTATCGATATTATAACGCCGAGTGCAAAGGATTAGTCTTCGATTCCGTGTCAGAGAAATATTTTAACCGAGAATTTCTATCAGTCCGCTTCTGTCTCCGATAGAATTCGTCGGAGTGTTCCGTTACGGATGAATCAGCGGCACTTGTAAACCTCGAGAACGTGCAACATACGACATCAAGGTGAATCGCGAGGAAGATGGAAGAGTGTTCGGTGGTTGTTCGCGAGACCTCGATTTTCACATCGAAAGATCGGCTGCGCGTTTAGCGCGCCGATTCCCGATATCTCCTTGTCTGATGGCGAGGTTAGATCGGGTCACGGTCGGCCTCGTCCGTCGAGCGTCGCTAGTGTCGCGACAGCAACGATGGCGGAGGTGCCGCGAGCCGCGGGCCGGGCACTAGGTGCTAAAAGTATTAAAAAAAAGTGTTTAATCTTGTCGTCGTGGGACAAACGTACGGAATACGCCTGGCCAGAGAGTGTCGACGCGCTCGCGTTGTAATTTTTGCCGCGAACGAGCCGAGCGGAGATCGGTTCGCGTCGGTGGATCATCTCGGTCCGGCGCGTCCTCTCTTAGACTAGTTTCGAAACCTTAGCGTGACTTTGTATCGTGTAAGTGTATAAGTAGTATAATTTTAGGCGTGACTTTCGTCGTTCTTTCGTACGGATTTTTATATAGCCAGTTTTGTATGATCGACGTCGAGCAGCAGCTTCCTCTACTGCGGCCGTTCCGTCGCGGACCGAGGCCGCTCGATCGACCGACCGAACCGAACCGGAATCGATGTTCGCTCGGTGCTCTACAGCTCTGGAGCTTCGGAAAGATTTTCGTTTCAAGGACCAAGGGTTCTTCGATGGACGAGCGAATTTCGTGCGAGAGTGAAATCGCGATTGTTTTCCCGGTCGCTGGCGCGTCGCTCGGAGGATCTACGCGACGGGTGGATCTGCACACACGCATACGTACGACACACGAAGGATGTACGCGCGCATCGAGGACAAGGAGCTTGGAATTTTTCGTGGAAAATTCGATCGATCTCGAGGCGGAGCGAGTCGGCAGATCTCTGACCACGCGAGGGGTGCTAAAACAAGTTTTTAACCGCGGAACTAATAAGGGTAAAGAGGGGTGTGAAAGCGCGGGGAACAGAGGCGAGAGGGGACAAGGCGGGAGAACAGTACCCTTTAGTAATATCTAAACTTAATTGTAACTATTAACGATACGTACGACTGTGGTAGCTATGCTAGTACCTGCTATTGTTAAAGAGAGAGAGAGAGAGAGAGAGAGGGGGAGAGAGAGAACGAGCGAGAGAAATGGATTGTAAGAGCGAGTCGAGGGAAGGAGGTAATCGCGACTTTCGAGGTTTGGTTCGTGACGGAATACCGGATGTCATCGTCGTTCGACCTGGCTGGAACCAAGCTAGTTCTTCGACCGGTTTTCCGAGAACGGAGCAGCAACACGGAACAACGATCGATGGATCGCGATCCGGCCTCGGGACACCGTAGATTCGCCGCAAAGAGCTCCTCGCGCCGATTATTTTTCTAATCTTTGTAATCGAACGAACGGGTTCGCGACGAGAGCAGCGAGAAATCCTCGCGATTCGACTGCAACGAGATCCCTCGAGAGACAGAGAGCGGGAGAAAGAGAGAGAGAGAGAGAGAGAGAGAGAGAGAGAGGAAGAGAGAGGAATAGGGATAGTAACGATTCCGTCGCGCTTTAGCCATCGATCTTCGGGCGTCTCGAGGCATCTCGCGATCTTCCACGATCGAACACGGGTGCAAGAAGCTCGGCGAGAGGGATGAGAGAGAAAGGAGGCAAGTCGGCGAGCAAGCGTTGCAATAAGTTGCGAATCAAATGTGGATCTCGGCTTGAGACGAGAGGCTCAGCTCAGCGAAGAATCAAACACACATACACGATGTATACTCTTCTAGCAAAACCAAAAAACGGGAAAAAAAAAAGGATGGATCGGCGTGGGATTGCGCGAACGA